GTTAAGCCTGCAGCTTTTAGGGGACAGGGTTCAGACTGGCGTCTATGTTTGTAGCAGGCTAGCATGTCTGGCTCAAACTAGGCAAGGTTCTGAAGTCCCAAACTGCCAGGGAAAACAGGCTCAGAGGTAGTCTTGGCACATCAGTTGGCAGTTCCCAAGGGGTTTTCTGTGATCCAACCCATCACAGCGGGAGTCCTGGAGGCCATGCAACTTGCTGTCTGTTTGCTCCGCAAACAGGGCCCGGCCGTCGAAGGGCAGGTCCTGCATTGACTGCTGAGTCTCGGTGGACAACCCAGAGAGGAGCCGCCGAGAGGCTCGCCGCATGGAGACAGCGGAAGCCATGGTGCGGGCAGCAGCGTCTGCAGCTGCCTGGACGGCTGCCCTGGCCATGTCGTGCCCTCATCAAGGATAGCTCAGAAAACCTCCGGGAGAGACCCTTTGAACTTGGCCTTGGCTTGCCACATATTGAAGTCATATCGGCCAAGGAGGGCTTAGTGGTTGGCCACTCTCAGCTGAAGGCTGGAAGAGGAATAAACCTTTCACCCGAAAAGATCCAGCCTCCACGTGTCTTTATTTTTTGTGGTGGCCCCGGGTTTTCCCTGTCTCTCCTTGTGGTTAACCCCCTCAACCACAAGAGAATTGGGGGCCGGGTGGGAGTATAAGTACTCATGCCCTTTGGTTGGCATGAAGTACTTGCGTTCGGCTCTTTTAGAGATGGGGCCAGGGAAGAGGGGGTCTGCCACAGGGCATTAGTGATTTTAGAAACCCCTTCATGAAGGGGTAGAGCCACCCTGGCAGGAGCTGCGGAGCAGAGGACATCAAACAGAGAATCTGAGGGCTCTTCCAATTCCTGTGGCTGAAGCCCCAGGTTAGAAACAACCCTCTTCAAATGTTCTTGGCATCATCCTGAGGAACTGGGTAAGGGGACCCTGTGAGAGCCTTGTCTGGCGACGATGATGATGATACCGGTGCCCCAGGAACCTCCACGTCCATTGGTGGTCCAGCAGCTTGCTCCCCTGGGTCCTCCTGGGTCTTACCCCCCTGAAGTCTCCAGCACCAGATAGGGACGGGATACCAAGACCGCTGGCCTCTCCGAGGCTCACAAAACCGATCAGGCAGCCTGGGAAGGCTGGTTGAACCCCCAAGGGTTCCATGGGTACCATGGTACCGGCCACTTGCTTGGGGCCATTGGACAGGTTTTGGTGCTGATAACGTAGTCGGTACTGGGTCTTGTCCCGCATTCAGGGAACCCCGCTCCGAGCTGGAGCTACCAGCAGAGCGGTCGGTCCCGGGCGACCAGGATCAGGTTGAGCAGTGGCTCTTGTCCAACTGGTGCCGGTCGCTGCATCCCGAAGCCAACCTAGTGAGACTGTCTTGATCAGGCTCTCTGGGACCGATGGTGTTGGGCGGATCTGCGTCGGATACCCAGCAATCCACTCCTCACGCTACTCGACTGGTACCGGGACTTCAAATGGGATTGGGAGCTACTATGAGCTGATTGCCGGGAGGATCGTCCTCAGGAGGGTGACCTTCCTTTTTTGAGATGGGCGATGACGGGCCAGTGATTGGTGGTCTTTGGTCCCCGATTGGTCCTGGAATCGGTACTGGGCCCTTGAAGATGGTCCCGGAGTTCTTGCCAGGTGGCACGTGCCTCAGAGGGTCTGTGCCAATCTAATGACGAGGTACGCCTCGAGTCCCTCGATCAGTGCCCCCAGTGTGGGGTCTGAAGGGGCTCCGCTGAGCCTACCTCTCCCGTCCTGAGGCGTGACAGCTGCGGGCGGGCAAATGCTGGTGGGATGTCCCTCTCGATGGGGAACGGTGCGCTGAAGTGGGGACACACGAATAGATCCCAACGCAGATTTTCCCCAAGACCGGGGTACTGCAGGAGCTGGTGTGGGCGGCACCAGGAGTGTCAGGATCTCCTGAGCTGCTTGAAGGGCTTCGGGCGTCGATGGCACCTGAAGCTGGCTGGCGCCTGCACCACTATCCGGAGTCTCAGGCAAGGTATGGGATGGGATGGGTTGCACTGCTCGATTTGAGCTGGGGCCCAACCTCCCGAGGGGGATGGTGAGCTGCCTGACACGGGTCTTGGCTCACCCCCTGCCCTCTCCTTTCCCTTGCAGGAGGTAGGAGATCTTCCCCTCAAAGTCTTTTTCGGCTTCTTGACCGGAGCCATGGAGGGAGACCGGTGTCAGCTTGCGCACGGAGGCCACGGTGCTCGGTGCGGAGTCAGACCACTGCTCCGGTGCCGGAGTGAGTGCCAACTCCATTAGGAGCGCTTTCAGATGGGTATCGCACTCCTTCTTCGTTCTAGGTTTAAAGGACTTGCAGATATGGCACTTGTCACTTATGTGCCCCTCGCCTATGCACCTTAGGCAGCTGGTATATGGATCACTGACGGGCATAGGCCATTTGCAGTGATCGCAGGGCTTAAAGCCTAGGGACTGGGGCTTAAAGGCTGGGTCGTGTTCGGGACTAACAAAGAGTTTGAGACTACTACTAAGGGTAACTACGAAAACTACCAACTATGTATACCTACTTTACAGGATTTCAAAGTTCACAAGAACAGAGAAGGAATCAATGCTAGCCAAAGCAGCAGACGTTCTACCACCGTCACTGATGGCAAGAAGGAACTGAGGGTGGGGGGAGCCGGCAGTGCCCCTTATACTGCACCATGCGGGCGCCACTCCAGAGGGTGTCAGAGCTGGTTCCCTATGGATACTGCTGAGGCAAAAACTTCCGGCACCTGTGCATGTGGTGAGCGCACACACCTAATATGGAATGGATATGAGCAAGCACTTGAAGAAGAAGAAGAAGAATCTGTGTTTCGAAAGGGTCTTATTCTTTCAAATCTGATTTTTTTGATGATTAGCCTTTTGTTTCCAATTGGCCAGAGCAGAGCTAAGATATGGGACATCACAGAGATTAACACACACTTCTAGGCGGTTTACATGGTCAAGAACGTTCTATATGCATCATTTTTTTGTTTTGAGACGCTGTGATGCATGGCTAGAATGGGTTAAACATCCTGCAAAATAAATAACCCTCAAAAGACGTGGGGGGATAATGTTTGTATTTTTGTGTATTTACATATGTATGAGTAGGGTCAACAATGTAATCAACAGTCCCCGTCTAGGCTGTATTCTGATAATTCAGAGGTCAAAAGAACATCCTATAATTTAAATGAATTGTAAACATGGGATATCTCAGTATTCATCTCTCTTTGAAATGTACTGTGAATGGTGGAGGAACAAGCAAATGGTTTTATGTTAATTCGTATAGCTAAGTACCGGTGATGGACCTCCTTCAAAGTCATCCTAATTACCCTGAGGAACTCCAATTCATCAAAAGACATGAAATTGTATAAAAGATCCTTGGGTCCTGATTCTGTCATCTCAGATCTGCTTAGGCTTCATCAGGGGAAGTTTGAGTCGCAAGACTAAGATCCCAGTTATGCTGTGTGATAGACCCAGGCCAGTAGGGTACAGCAGAGTAGTCGAAAGCAGATATACTGGCCACTGGATAACCAGTTTTCTGTTCCCCGACCAGAGCAGGGGCTGCTCCAGGCTAATGAGAACACCTGATTCCAATTAACCTGCAAAGAGTCAGGTGAGGCCGTTAAGCTAATGTGAACACCTGACTCTAATTAGGCCCCTCTGATACTATAAAAGGGCTCACTCCAGTCAGGCCAAAGAGAGCCAGGGAGCCAGAAGAGAGGAAGTGCGGCTGAAGGGCTGGGTAATGAAGACACCCTGAAACCACTGGAAAGGGAGCCCTAAGGTAAGGGTGAAGAAGGCGTTGGGAGAGAGAAGTGGGGGAGCTGTGGGGAAGTGGCACAGGGAAATGTAGCAGCCTGGCGGTGAAAGGTCGGCTGCCAACAGCTGCTGCCATTAGGGTCCCTGGGCCGGAACCCGGAGTAGAGGGTGGGCCCAGGTTCCCCGCAACTCGGCACTACAGAAACACCTCCTGGGAGGGGAAGACAGGCCCCTGGCAGGACAGGAGGCTAAGCTGTTCTGGAATAAGCCTGTAGGGACAACAGAGACTGTGGGAGCTCTCTCACCAACCTCCTTGCTGGCTTATGATGAAATGGGCTCAGTAGACTGTAACTCTAGCCCTAGAGAGAGAAGGGCTACATGGAGGGTCGCAGTAAGCCTCTGAGGCTAGCATAAACTGCCTGGAAGCGCGAGACCCATGGGGACAAGGCCGGAGCTCTGCCACTGCTGGTATGCCCTGAATATGATATTTGGACATTGGACTATGACCTCTGAACTGAATTCTAAAGGAACTCCTTGCAACTACAAAGCTCACCATCTCTGATATGAATCTAAACCGCAATGGATTGAACTCATGCCTGTATGTATACTGATCTTTTAACCATACTCTCTCTTGTTTTTTAATAAATTTTAGTATAGTTAATAAGCCTTGGCTGTAGCGTGTATTTGGGTAAGATCTGAAACATTCATTAACCTGGGAGGTTGTGTGTCTGGTCCTTTGGGATTGGTGGAACCTTTTCTTTTATATGATGAAATAAGATTTACAGAAATTTTCATCATATTTGATGTGGGTACATGGATGGAGGCCGGAGGCTAGATCACTTTAAGGGAACTGTGTTGTTTGGACTTCTGAGTAAAAAGTAAGGTAATAAAGAAGCTGTTTTATGCTGTCTTGGTGAATCTAAGTATTGGAATATCCACCAGATTTATGGGGATTGTCTGCCCCATTCTTTGCAATTCACCCTAATTGAGTGACCACAGCTGGCTCCCCACTAGGTCACAGAAGCATTATAGATTAAACAAACTGTGTGGTGGCAGATGCTGGATGAATTTGATGTTTGCCTCTTTAAATGTCTCAGTTCACACTGGTGGTTCAGACTCAGGAACAACCAAGGCGACTGAGTGCTTCCACTTTTGTCTTATCTTTAAAAGTCCCACAAGACCAAGTATCCAACAGCAAAACAAAATCTAATTTTATTTCTATTAGTCATGTATAAATTACAGAGATTATGAAACTATATACACGGTTTAATATCAGCTCTATGCCATGTTTCTGGAGAATTACTTACGGTCATTGGGTTTTCAAAGTTTGACTACATCCCCCTGACTAGGTACAAATCATTCAGACTAGACAGCGAAAAAAAATGTATTCATTTATTTTAAACATACTCCATTTGCCCAGCAAGGAGATGCCAGGTGGATCAGATCATTGGGGCTCTCCCTTTGCTTTCCCGACAGTTTACAACTGAGGACAATACTAGTGGGGAAGAGCTGGACGCCCTACTGCTTATTCCACTTCTAACCATATACTCTGATCTTACATCCCTGCCCCGGCGGATTTTTCCCTATGCTGCTACTTGGAGATGCTCATAGTGGCTCTGTGCACTGACCCTTACTTCTCGTGACCAGAGGAGCAGGAATCCTAAGATTGTTCTAGAACTTTTCAATTTAATGTTATAGTACTATCAGCGAAACCACTAGGCTAAGAGCTAAAACAGGCCTACCAAAGGTAATACATTGGTATCGTTTTGCTTTCAGGTCCCAGGTACACTATCTATTTAAATGTGAGAGCCTCCAGGGATGGCCCACAAAAGGCCTTAGTAAGATACCTTTGGAGGTGCCCAGCAAACAGAACTGTATGGTAAATGTTGAGGGTCACTCTTTTTTGTTGGGGGTGGGGAGTAGGCATGAAATCCTGGCCCCACTGAAGTCAATAACAAACCTCTCATTGTCTTCAATGGGGCGAGGATTTCATCTCAGGTGCCAAAGGCTTGCCTACACTTAAAATGCTCTAGTGGCACAGCTGCACAGTTGTAGCGCTTCACTGTAGACACTACCTACACTGAAGAAAGGGGTTCTCCTATGGGCATAGGTAATCCACCTTCTCGAGAGGCAGTAGTTAGGTTAACGGAAGAATTCTTCCATTAACATAGTGCTGTCTACATGAGGACTTAGGTTGGTTTAACAATGCCACTCGGGTTGTGGATTTTTCATACTCCTGACCGAAATAGTTAAACTGATCTAATTTCTAGCACAGACCAGGCCTATGTTGTACCTTACCGCTTGCTTGTACAAATGCATATTTTGCTTGCACAATTAAGTATGCTCAAGACTGCATACTTCACAGGCAGAACTTGGATATCTATCTTTTGTAATTGTCAGTGTTTAAGTTATTCTAAAACAGTTAAGTTGTCATGGGTAATTCTGAGAAACGACAGACTGTCATGACTAACAGTAACTTGGCTGCTTTAAAAAGGCAAATAACCTTTTATGTTAAGAACTGGTTATTCTGCTTATTTACATCTGTATCTGAGGTAATTTAGCTCTTTTTGTAACTTTGGACTATGACTAGGCGCAAGTTGGACAGTACTCAGCAAATGAAGCAGCTCTTTGGTATCCTTTTTAATCATTCTGTGTCCCTAAGGCCTTGATTATGGCACACCATCTAAACCCTGCATTGAATAAGGACTGTTTTCTTTCTTCATGGGCTTTTCTGAGGTACTCATCATAGTGCCTCACAACCATGAATAAATTTACTCTCACAACTGTCCTGCAAGACAGAGATTTTATTAACCCTGCTTTACAAATGCGGAATGGAGGTACAGAAATTTAGTGACCTTCGAAGTGTAGTGCCTCTAGAGCAGGGGTAATCAACAGGTGGCCCGCAGGACAAATTCGGACTGCCGGATACTTTTAAATGGACCCCAAAATCTTTTTATTTACTTATTATCGTTATTTTTATTATTTTCTCTGGAGTCTGGACCTTGACTCTACCTAGACTGAGAAATTTAGACCTTAGCAAAAACTAATTTACTACCCACCCCTGCTCTAGAGTTTCTAGAGAACTCTTCTATTCTCATTATTCCCTTCTCCTCCTCCTTCCCTTCCATGGATTTTACTGCAGGAAGATAAAATCTGTCCCTTTGTACTGAAAGCCGTTCATGGCAGCAAAGGCTGACTCCTGGCACCTACGGTCAGTGTCATGAAGGGACGGATGAGAACCTTTAATTTAAAATAAAAGCCAAAGAAATAGACATTATAAAAACAGAACATGAAATGTACAGCATGAATCCTGATTTTCTGAACACATCTTAACTCTCTTTAGTTATTCTAAAGTCTTGCTTTCAAAATGTTTCATGAACAGAACATCTCCATCCTACCATAAGTCCTATTTTACAGCAATACTGCAGTCCTTATTTCCATAAGCAGTCCCACTGGGCTAAATTCATACCTAGTGTAACGCCACTGAAGTCAATGGAGTTGCACACCAGGGAAAGATTTGGCCCATTGAGTTAAGAGGTAATATTCCCTTGAGTGAGAACTTCAGTGGCAGGACGCAAATGATGCCAGATGTTTGTAACTTCAGTGACTTCTCTGGGGAGGCTTCTGATTTACATGCATTTGAAAGTACATGTAGGCCCAAGAAGAACATCGCATTGGCTTCCAGGAAACCCTTATTTACAAAGCTGCATAAACAACTTCTTTTTTTTAAACTTTCATTTTATAAAGCATTTTGGCTGCTTTGTTGTTCTTCATGGTGTCTGCATTTCAGTCAGCTGAATATGGAGAACTCAGCTAGAAGAGAGGAATGAAAACATCAGCTTTAAGGCAATTATTGCTGCATATTTAAAAACAAAACAAACAAGCCACAGTTTGCTCAAATTACTTCCAGTGACAAACACACACTCACAGTGCAAACTAAGCCCTGACTTATGTAATGGTTCCCCACCTTAGCCACTTAAAGAGACACTGGTAGTTTAGGTTCAGTTCCTAGAACTATACAGAGGGAGATGCCCCACGCACACACCCACTCACACTCTGGGGAAATTAGGGGCTTGTTTACATGGAGACTTAGTATGTGGCAAGCTGAGAAGTGGATATACAGCACACTAGCTTGCTGTGCACTAACTCGCCCCTTGGACTCTGCTACTGTACACTAAAAGTTCCCTCTTGCCACATACTGTGTGCTTGTCTTCACGTACAGCGCCACAGCTGCAGCTGTGCTGCTGTAGTGCTTTAGTGAAGATGCTACTATGCCGATGGTGACGGGAGAGCTTCAAATCACACCAGCCCAGGTTCGGTCCCCAAATATTTAAACCAGGCTAAGAAATGTAAGAACCTCTCCTGCTTTGGGTGCAACTTGTGAGGCTGAGCTGCCTCATGTTCTGCACAGAGCTCTGAATGCAGTTCTTTGCAGGCAAGTAAAATAGAAAATGATTTTAAAATAAATAAATACATTTGCAATGTAAGTTTTAAGTCTCTCCGTGGACTTTTAATGAATGTTTTGTATTTGTTTAGTTAAGACATTTCAGTTCACCTTTAACATCCCCGAGACAGACCCAGCTACACCATGCAGCGGAAGTAGTCATTTTCATTAGTGCAAAGTGTCTGTAAAATGCTACCAAATCAGAAATGGCAACTACATAAAATGCATGGCAATGGGTGAATCAAGCCCTCTGTGTTATCTGTAAAATCGGTACAATACTTACTTACAGTTATGGGTGTTGAAACTTAATTAATGTGTGTACAGAAATTGGAGATCCTTGCATGGAATTTTGAGATCCTTGCATTGCAAAGTTCTAAGATATAAAGTTCATAGTACAATGGTTACCATGAAAAAGACAACATTCCATACCATACTGAAGAATTCTACTGTATTTAGAATAGGAAAGAACTGGGTTATCTCCCATAGCACTGTATGGGAACTGAAGGCAAGTGCTGACTTTTTAATGGTTACAACTGTACTCTCACCCGTTTGCACTGCAAAAGAAGCCTTTCTCTCCACTGGTAACTCTTTCTCTCCACAAAGTAGACCCCATTTGCTTAGTAGTAAATTATGAATGAAAAAACTTGCAACATACAGCAGTTTCAATTACTGTGGGACTCAGGTGTTCTCTCAGCACAGCATAAACACTTGGAGACATGGGAAGAAGATCTGATGGAGAATGTGGATCTGTGGAATCATACAGGCTTAAAAGAAACACAAATAAAATAAATAACCTTAAAGATGATTAGGAAATAATGGGAAGAAACCCCTTTGCAACTTAATGCATCAATAAGGGATGCATACATGGAAATAATCATATAGATCTGTGTTTGGGTAACACTGATTTAGCAGCAAGTAGCCTGTGAAAGAGCCAACTGCATGCTAATGTCCTATTAGCCAACAACATCAATGAGAATACCTTGAAAAGATATAGCTGCTGGCACACACACAAAAACATACTGTACACATTGTGCTACTACAGTTAATTCTTGTTTAAACCTTGTTTAATTTGTTAATTCTGCCTGCATAGGGGGATCTTCCTGTGATCTAGAACTGCAGAGGAGCTCCTTCTCCACTTTCTGGCCACTTGATGCAGGAGCTGTAGTCAGGGAAAGAAAGGTAAAACCCAGCTACCATACCCAAGATTCTGGGGGACATTAAAAGCTGGAACACATTAGAGGAGCCTAAAGGCTTCTCTAATTTATTTTGCATACCTTCCTGATGCATAGACAGCACCAGGACTGGGGAAGAAAAGGTGGTTTTTAAAGCCCGCTTTACTTATTCCCCCAGCTTTACACTGAGTACTCCTTTGCCAGACCAGAGAATTGGGGCCCATATCTCTGTGTTGCTACCACTAGGTATTTCCATGGGAAAAAATGGAATCAAAGAAACTGCGGGGTGAAGGGAGGTACACAGACTTAATGAAAAACATCCAAAGTGTAAAACAGCTCTTAGATTACTCACATTTTGGAGATTGGGATAAATACAGCGGGGACATAACCTTTGACCCCTCCTTCTGTAGGTCTTGAGACTAAAAAAGAATCAACATTAAGAAAATTTTTAAAAATGCCCTAAAGTTTCTATGCTTATTAGTTACGGAGATTTAATACAAATATTTTAAAAGCTGTAGAGCATAATGTATTGAAAGGGAAACATAACTATTTTTTTAATCATAAATGGGCAACAAGAACATGGGCAACAAGACAGGATTTGAACCTACACAGATGTACACACATAAGTAACTGGACTCACTTAAGAAGTTCCTTTGAAGTCATGAGGAGTACTTAAATGCATTATAGGTATGTGTTCAAATCTTTGCAGGTCTGAGCCTTTAGAAGCCAATCCTGCAAACATTTGCATTTATCTGAAACCTTTCATGAGAGGACAAAATAGGATTGTGTTCATTCACAAGTAATTCTGACTACACTGACAATTTTAGTCAATATATATTACATGGGATCTGGAATTATAAGTTAGTATTGGCAAACAGCCCATGAGAGTAAGTCCCCTGAACCTCAAATGAGAGGTTCTTGGAACTGAAGAAACAGCAAGTGACACTGCTACATAATTCTGGAAGCAGATTAACAAGTGGTCTTGTAAATAGAAATAAATATCTGAAACATGGGCAAAGAAATGTAATTTGAAAGTAAATATATTTTTGTAAATAATGAATTGAATAACTTCCTCTAATATGACTGCTTTCTCAGAGATGTTTCTTAGCTTGTGCATATCTAAGGGCTTGTCTACATTACCCACTGGATCAATGGGCACCGATCGATCCAGCGGGGATCGATTTATCGCGTCTAATCTAGTCGCGAGAAATCGACCACCGGGTGCTCTCCCTTCAACTCCAGTACTCCACCAGGGCAAGAGGCGCAGGCGGAGTCGACGGGAGAGCGTCAGCCGTCGATGTACCACAGTGAAGACACCGCGGTGAGTAGATCTAAGTACGTCGACTTCAGCTACGCTATTCATGTAGCTGACGTTGCATAACTTAGATCGATCCTGCCTCCCACCCCAGTAGACCAGGCCTATGTGTCATTGTTATTTATTATTTGTATTGCTGTAGTACCTACAGTTCATAGAGTAGGGTCCAACTATGCTAAGTGCTGAACAAACACACAATAAAAACACAGTCCCTGCCCCAAAGAGCTTACAATCTAAGTATACGACAAGAGACAACAAGTGGAAACAACAGGCAGACAGGGGGTGCATGAGAAAACAAGTACAGTTTTTATAAAGGCATTCCATAAAATGAGGTAATGTTTTCACAAGTAAACATTTGTTTTCCTTAGAAAAAAGTTCATTTGCATATCATCTGAATTTAATGTTACTTTCCAAAAAGGATAAATATAGACTATAGAGCCCAACCTTCATTTGGCTGACTGCTGTAGTATTTGCCAAAGGCTTTATCTTTGGGAATATCTGGATACAGATATTTCAGTGGATTTTCAGGAACATTGTCTGCCAAAATAACTTTGTAATCTCGCAAAATGTCAGCAAATGGCAGCGCAGTTAAACGACCTTTATTATAGGGTTCCACTGAGTGGAACCTTACTTCTCCTGTAAAGACACAAAGGCAATATAATTGTGAATAGGCAAAGAGGTCAACAGTCATAATCAGCTACACATTTCACCTATCATTTATAGTTTAGGTTGTCTTGAATTTTACACTTTTAAGCTGCACTTACCGTTTTCTGACTGGTCCACCCAGGTAAATGTAATTCCCCCCAGGTTGCTTTCACTAAACCTTAATAAAAATGTTCCAGGCATTTTGTCCCTGAGCAAAACTCGTTCTTTCTCCTTGCTCACAAATCCCATTATATACCTGCAAGTATAAGAAAATTATGGCTTTACTTACAGAGTAATTACAGCATCCATTCTGTGGCATTCATTTCCCAACTTTTATCTTGCAATGCCAGATAAGTGCCAATCAAAGTAAAAGGCTGGTTTTATAGGGCCCACTGCTATAGACTTCACAAAGGCTCCACATGAAGTTAGTGGGAGTTTTATCTGCACAGGAACACAGCATGGGCCCCCATCACAGTGTGGAGCATGACAAAATTTATCATATTACTTGCCTGTAAACTAACTGAGTCCATAAGGGAGAAATATAAAATCCACTTTGAATAGTTTCAGTAGAGTTTTCTTTAGGCTACAAATAATTGCAAACAATATGGCAGACTTGGAGATTTTTAGGCCTTTGGAAATTCTTTTCTGTAATGCTGAATGTAGACTTAATAAAGAGAAGGGACAAATGAGATAAGCTTGTTACGTTAATGGACAATTGCCAGTATATTGCTCACCCGTCAATCCAAAGAGGAAGAATGTGTTTTTTAATTAGGTCCAGTATTGCTTCGAGCCATACCCAAAAGGTAAATGACTTTCCAGGTAAATGTTCCTATTGGTAAAATAAACAAACAAATAAAAAGATAATTTCAACCACATCTTTAACACCATATCAATGCTGCATGTCCCTGTCATTTTCACAGGAATAGTTCTAGTTTCTATTTATGTGAGAATGATAGAGAAATGTATTAAAAGCAGCAATTCAAATCTATCTTGTGTAAAAACAAAATATCTATATGATTTGCTTTTAAAGATTTTTAGAGGAAGTGCTTCACTTTAAAATCTTTATTTAGAATAATTAATGTCTATATCAGTGTTTTCCAAACTTGGGACGCCGCTTGTGTAAGGAAAGCCCCTGGCGGGCCGGGCCGGTTTGTTTACCTGCCTCGTCCACAGGTCCGGCTGATCGTGGCTCCCACTGGCCGCGGTTCGCCGCTCCAGGCCAATGGGGGCTGCTGGAAGCGGTGGCCGGTACGTCCCTCGGCCGCGCCGCTTCCAGC